AAAAATACATGACTGAAATAAGCAGATTTTGTAATTGAATATGTTTCCATCGTTTGGGATTATTTTCTGTGTGCACAGTTGTAGTATTTAAAAAACTTTTGGTAAAAAAAATATATTTACGGGTGCCTCTTGGCGAAAATTGTTGATTTTTGATGGCACATGGATGCCGAGTTTGTTCAATTCTTTGACTTATTATTTTGGCTTTGTGTAGTGGCGATTTTTGGCGCAAAAATACAGACAAAATAACAAGTGAAAGAATTTCGCAAACTCGGTATCCATGTACACATCAACCTATTTTCACTTAAAAAAAAAAAAAAAAAAAAATCAGAGAATTGCACAAACTTGGCACTGTGCACTTCCTTGACTTTATCCATGTACACTGCTCACAAAAAAAAAAAAAAAAAAAAAAAAAAAAAAAAGGGCAGTCCTATATCTCCCGATCTACTGGGCCGATTGACAAAATTCAAATTGCGTTCTTCATGTCTCGAAAGCGCGACTTAGGATATATATTAGATTTATATATAGCACTATTCTAACATAGGTATTTTGACACAAAATCGGACTTTTTATGAAATAACATACCAATTTTTTTACATATTTCGATTCTACGACTCAAATTACGCCTAAATATGAAATTTTGTAAAATTTGGAGCGAAATTTACGGAGAAATTCACAAATTTATGTTGGCACTTTTTTGTCAGTTTGCGCCAAGAATACTTCACTTGGCGAACTTCTTAATATATGGCAACCTAGTTTCCTTAGGGAAAAAAGTCACCATCGTTCCTTTTTTCCAAATAATATTCTTTATATTATATTTTTAATTTTAAGTAATTTTTTCTTTTTCGAATTTCATTTTAATTGTTTAAGTTGCACTTTTTTTTTTTCGAATAACTGTTTAAAAATTTCTATTTACCTGTTCGAACTGCGTAAATAAAGGTGCAGCGTTTATTTTTTTTTCAAATAGTTTTCTTTATATATATTTTTCGTCATAGTTATTATTTTAGGTAATTTTTATACTTTTATTTTAATTGTTTGTGTTGCGTTGTCTCTTGAGATAATTGTTTTAAAATTTTCTATTTATTCCTTCGAACTGAGCATTTTAAATATATTTATTAATATCAATTTTCCAGAATATGATTTTATTTATTTGAACTACGTTTCTATCGGAAGAATACTTTGTAACCCAGACTACGATGAGTTTGAAAACTGCATACTATATTAAAAGAGAAAATACAGTAAAGCACAGTTTTACACGCCTTTCAATGTTCCGTTCAGAAAAGATATATATAAATAAGAGAGATGTATAACTGACAATTTTAACTTAGGATGACTTGCATACACTGCTTCAAACAGTTTTATCATTGTGCCCATTGCTTTACACAATGTTATCCTACATTTGGTTTCTTAAAATGTTATTCATATTTTAGTGAAATATTTTATTTTTGAAATCGCAAGAATCAAATATCATAACATTGAAAAGTTTTAAATTAAAAAAAATACATATACTAAATTTAACGAAAAAATTTATTTTTCTTCTCTTTTTCTTTAAGCATTCTGAAAGTATGTTAAAAAGTATCCAACTTTTCGAAACATTTTGGTATTTCTGACAATCATTTTAAATAAAGTTATCGCCTTCCATTTCATAAAGGCACACAAACGGCCCAGCGGTAAAGACGCTGATCACTGGTAGTCGGTCCGAGGTTCGAATCCCGCGAACGGACTGGTTGCATGGGTGTTTTTGTGGTTTTCCCGATGTGTAACGTGTATACGAGGCCAGTTTCCCTTAGAAAGTCCTCCACTAAGGCATCCCTCCCTTTAGGCAGATAGCCCTCGTGTGCTTTGCCATAATTAAATAATCCAATCCAATCCTTAATTAAATATAAATTGATTTGTAACTTCTACTAGAACTGACGTTAAGAATTGAAGTGCAAATAAATAATATCATGTGCAATCTTGATTAATATAAAATTAAAAATATTTGCATTCAGACAGAAAGTTTTTTGAAATATTTGCAATTACTTTCTAAGAAGGATTTATTAATAACCGTAATAATTACTTATTATATTACTGATGATTAGGAATCAGTTCTTGACAATTACATTCTAAATTAGAATTTTAAGAATTATTAGAATTTTAAATTAGAATAATGAAAATACGCTACGCACAAAAATACATTTTAGGATAAAAAATGAGTCGATTTTTTATGTTTTAAAACTTCTTGAATTCATTTAATAAACATCGTATCCTCGTTGTTAATTGAATTCAGAATGTTGGGTGTCGTTTATATAATTATTCTTACTTGTCCACGAAATCTGCTGACTTATCCAGCGATTAAGTAGCTGCAGATCATTTCTACATAACCATTGAACTTCCATTAAGTCTCTAGAGGGTTGTATATTTATATCATAATTTGACTTTTATAAAAATGATTATTCTAAATCTTATGTTTCTATAAAAATATACTGTGCTTTAAAAATATGGATGATAGTACCAGCCGCTCTTTCAGCCACTTCAAAAGCATCAGTTTGTTTAGAAATAAATTGGGCAGTTAATGTCATAAAATTCAAATAAACATCAAATGAAAATTCTCAGTTTTATACTATTTGATTTAAACAAAGTAAAGTAGCAGACGATAAAAGGCCGAAGGTAAAAATTTACTCTTAGAAAAATGTACTCTTATTTTTTTAAAAAAAAGGAAGAAAGAGAGAAATTAAAAAACATTGTTAAAATTTGAATAATATCATCTATAATTTAAAAAAATAGCTTTTCATATAGTATTAATAAATATTTATTACGCATCATTGAGGGAAAAAATGTCATATAATTAATTCTCCGTAAAATTTCACTTGAAATTTAAGGTTAAAAATAGCTGTGGCAATACAGTGTAACAAAAATCCATAGACCACATTTGGCGTTATTATCGCTAAAAAAAAAAGATGCCAAATTTCAAACCGCGAAAATATGTAAATTTGTGTATATCTTAGAAAATTTTGAATAAAAAAGTCTAATTTTTTGCAGATATGCTTAAAAATATACCTACTTTAAGATGATGGTAAAAATTTTATAGGTTATAATTCAAAATGTTTTTCGAAAAATTTATAAAAATTATTTAAAAATAGAAATTTAAAAAATAAAACACAAAAATGGGTAAATTTTATTTGGAATGAACCTAAATTTCGAAATGTGAAAGAAAAATCAAAAAAGTTTAATAAAAAAAAAAGAGATATAAATAAATATTTGCCAAATTCAATTAACATTGAGGAGCTAAAATTTTGAGAACTAATATTGCAAAAACTACTCGTACGATTTTTACAAAACTTGGTATTCTGGCATAATTTGAGTCGTAGAATCGAAATATGTAAAACATTTGGTATGTTATTTCAGAAAAAGTCCGATTTTGTGTCAAAACACCTATGTTAGAATTGTGCTATATATAAATCTAATATATATCCTAAGTCGCGCTTTCGAGACATGAAGAACGCAGTTTGAATTTCGTGAATCGCCCCAGTAGAACAGGAGATATAGCACTGTCCCATTTTTTATTTTGAGCAGTGTACACATCGACTTATTTTCACTAACATCAGAGAATTGCAGAAACTTGGCATTGCACACTCCCTTGACTTTGCCCATCTACTCATCTATCTATATTCACTTAAAAAGTCAAAGGAGCAGCCAACAAAAAATATATAATCTCATTAAACTACATTTTAAATCAAACAATGAAATAACATGAAAAAAGGAAATTCATCTTGGCGCTACACAAAGGAAATATGCATTCACCTTATTTACAAATTTCTCTGTTTTCAGTCAAAAAAAAAAAAAAAAAAAAAAAAAAAAAAATTCCTTTACAGCATCTAAAGAACTTCCTAAAATTATCTGAACTAGAATCTGTATATTGGCATGGCATCACCACATAAATTCTCAAATACATGAGTAAAAAATATCCTCCGTCATTCAACCATACACGTTTCCTTCCTACACACAGGACACTTATAATGGCTGCTAAGTAAACCTTCATTTACACATCAGTCAATCAATGCTCTTTTCCCCTTTCATTGCAAATCGTACAGAAATTTCAAATTAATCTTGCCACATTTAGCCATTCTACAATCTAAACCACAAAACAGGCAATGTAACTCCTAACCAACAAACACCACAAGCCCTTACAAATCTTTTCTCATCATTCAAAATGTATTGCAATCACGCAACCGATTATGCTATAACAGGGTTTCCATAACATTCAACTACTCAGGTTACCATAAATGAAGCAACGACTTGGTGATAAATGAAACAATTTCACAATAATAATACATGGGGCACCCTTCAATCTACTCTAACCAAACTGGTACATTCCATAATTTTGATTAAATTATGAGTATTTTGACAGTATTTACGTGCAGACAGTACAAATTTAGCATCAAAATTAGAATGGGGAAAATATAAACAAAACTGAGAAAAGCATAACTTGTAAACTACAAAATTCTCTAATTTGTACAACCCTACTCAGTGTCCATAGAGTTCTGGAATTTTACTGTATAAATGGATTGCTGTATATACATATGTACAGCAATCCATTTATATATAAATCCTTTTTCAATACCATCCAGTTATTATCTGTGATTAACATTTTGAATAAGTTTCATATATTACATGAATTTTTGTAGAAATGTGTAGGCAATATTTAAGTTATTAGTTCTGCTGATTTTGATGTAATGTCCTCTTTAACCCTTTTGCATTTTTGAGATTCAGCAATTTCATCTTTCCAAATACATGTGATTTCTGTCAGTCTTAAATTTGTAACATTAGTTGTGTTCATTTGCACCCACTGTGGTGCGTAACTGGAATGTGAATTGAACTTGCTGATGACTATCGAAAAGTTAATTCAAGTTTTAGACACTCTACTCACATTTTGAGAAACATTTTTATGTAACTGTTATTTTTTGAAAAATTTTTAATTCGCATGTGTGATCAATGTTTTTTTTTTGTTGTATTTATTTCAGGCGGGATATTGCTAGCATGGTTAAACCTATGAAAGATGAAAATGATCCAGCTGAACAAAATAGAATTAATGAGCAACGGTCACAGTTGCAGCCCACTGCAACTAGAAACATTTTCTTAATACGGCATGGGCAGTACGATGAGTGGGCTAGAAAAGATGCTGATCGACATTTGACGTTATTGGGTAAATAATATATTGCCTCTGCGCAGTTATCTGAATGAATTATGTAGTGTATAGCATACCTGCCAACTCTACCAATTTTTCGTCATATCTCCCACTCTCCTGGTAAAAAATCTCCCAGTTTTTTATTTTTAGAGCCTTTACTGCAGAAAAGTGTGTCCCACCAATAAATAAATTTCGTTGAATTACTGAAACTTAAATTGGGCAAATTGCATCTGCCCACTTCTAGTGATTTTCAGAATAATTTTCTTTGTTAAATTTTATGTCATCTGAAATGTACTTTTTTATTGATCTTATTAAATTTTTCAGCTAAAAAAAATTAAGGCTATTTAAACTTTTCTCCTGCAGTATTTATTCGTAAAGACGTAGCGAGGATTCGCTACTTCATCTTTGACGCAGGGTCAAAGGTATATGTTACCAAAGAATACATGCAGACTTTATAAAGTGTCAGTTTTGAGTTTAAAATGGTGTCACTGCTCAGCACGAAAACCTAATTTTTCGTGGTTTTCTTATTCTTCCAGTTTTTTAAGATTGGTAGCTATGGTATAATAATACCTTCATATGTAAGGTTGATTTATGAAAGAGGAAAAGAGGCTTGCATCCTAGGTTTAACATTAAAGGAGCTTTCAAACCTTCTTATAATATTTAAATTGACAAATTTTTGCGGCTTCTTCCCAATTTTAGGTTTTAAAAGGTAAAATTAAAAGAAAAACAAAATAATAAATTTCATATTTTCGCTTTTCATAACTTTCTTCAATATGAAGGTTATTATTTTGCTGTCTTATGGGCAAGCAACGTCATTAAGTTAATATTTTGATAATTTTAAAAGCAGATTAATTAATTTAATTAATGATTAATTTCTCTTTCAGAGAGGGGGGGAAAGTGTCAGGGAAAAATATTTTTTGATGATGGAAAAAACTAAAGTTTTTAATTACACATTTTATTCATAGATTTGACTTAAATCAATAAGCATTTTGATTTCATTAACTTAGCCTTAACCTCTGAAATTTATGGACTTAAAGTTCATAACAAAAACTATTCTTTAAGTACTTCTTTTTCTAACTTTATGCCAGGAAAGAACATGGTTTAAAATATGCAAGTATGGGTGTATTTTATACAACATATAATGAACTCAAACTGTAAAAACTAAAAGTATTTTTTTATAAATAAATGTAAATGAAAAAAAAATATGGAATTAGGTTATTCCATGAAATACTTTATATGCATCAGTAATAGCTACTGATAAAAAAAAGGTGGATCTTTTGTAGACCCCATTTTGCAAATTGTTCCTGCCTACATCTATGGAGAGTGTATTCCAAAATTTATTGCAGATACATAAAGCTGTTAATAATAGAATGTGAATGGTGCCAGATTCACATATAAGCTACACAAGCTATAATGTAGGGCCCTCCAAAAATTGTACCATATCCCATATAAAAAAAAATGTCCCATATCCCTTATAAAGGGCCCCATATCTCAAATAGCTTAGGGCTTCTTCAAGTCTAAATCTGGGCCTTTATGTAAAATAAGATATTTATATGGCATAGTTTTAATTGGTAAATTATATTCATTGAAACATTACCAGGGTTAAATAAACTAATGAAGTAAACAATACAGTATGCCACAGTATGTACTATAATAAGTAAAATAATGCAAAATATGTTGTAAAGCAAAATGAACTTGTAGGGTTTATATTTATTTTAACTAACATTTATTTTAAGTTTAAACTATCTTTCCTGTCAAGCCTTACTTTCCCCTGGAACTGCCGATGCCAGAATATGTAAATTTGAGTAGAACGCGCAAGGATTCAAATTATCAGTGGAAGTATTATGATTTAAATAGGAAGGAAACAAGTTCGGTGTGTGATATTCTTACTGCACGAGCGCGGATGTAGTTAGCGAGAATTGAAGAACCCCGCGTTGCGGCCTATGTGCTTCGCGGGAAGTAGTGGTAATCGTTCCAGTGAGCTTCAAGTCTGCTGAATTAGCAGCGGTATTGTAAAACGCGGTGAGTTAGTTATTTTAGAGAGCCTCGTAGTTAGAATCTTGTCTTTACTTTCTTTTCAGGTTATTATTTTTATTTGACTGCCAAGTTGGCACCGTCTGTAAGCGTCAAGAGAACGCAATTGTAATTTATTACGTTGAATAAAAAGGGACTTAAACCCTTCACAAGGCTCTATCTTTTATACAAGTTTTCACAGTCACCTCTTGGTTGCGTGCAAGTTGGAGGCGCGCAACGTTATAAACTAAAAAATTGAAAAAATGACAGTATTTTATTTACAGACACAATGGATCTTTTAAAAGAAGTGATGAAGTTCTCTAATGTTAATGCCTCTTTAGTATTAAAGATGTTGCAGAAGAAGTTTTTAAAGCATATATTATTTGATAATTTGATCCCACTTTCCTACCACAATAAATATTGTTAGAAATACTTCTAAGCATGAATATTAAATTTATTTGTGATGCTGTTGATCTCAATCTGATAATAACATCACAACAAGTCCACAAATTTATCATGGTGAGGAGCACAGAATTGCATCTGTCATTGGCATGGGCCTAGGCATCTCATGTATGACATCATGACTTTGCTCACTTCCATCTAAATTTTAAAGGAGAATCTCCTGGAGGACAGAAGCAAAGGTCTTCCACCCTTCTTCCCATACAAATCACTCAAGAGGATTTATGGTTGGCCTTTATATTTTAAGTGCCTCCTTGTCACAAAGGTATTCACATAAAAGCCTTCAAGCATCAAAGGCTTCTCTTTGATTCAAACCTGGGCCCAACGATATGGCAACCAGGGATGCTAATTACTATACCAGTTAGAGTGGCTGTCATATTTAAGTGAATGATTCTGACACTTCTGGAAAAGAATTAACATCATCTGTTGCAAAACTATGTGATGGCTTTTCTGGTAACCTAGTAACATCACAGAAATGAAAATAGAGAGAATTCTAAAAACACAGTGGTGGTACTCATAGACTCATAGTGGTCGTACTCAACTGCTATGGATTCTCCATAGTTTCTCTGGATATTCTTGAAAAACTACGAGCTACGAAGCGTATGGGAAAACACTATTTATTTTACAGAAACAGGGTAGGAGAACCAGTATGCAAAACTGAACCAGCTAATTTATCCGATGACCGGCTGAGTACTGTGTTATCATATATCACGTATTGAGTCAACACCCCCAGTCTTAACTCAAGGCCTCGGTGTGAAGTTCATGACATCACTTTACTTTTGTCCTTCCTAACTTTAAGGATTCGTAGATTTGCCTTCTGAAATGCCCATTTAATAGGCTTGCAAATAAACTAAAGTTTTTATATTTCATTCTGATCATTTAGAATGTTAAGGACCGAAATTTTTATTAAAAAAATATTTTTGATACGAAGGAGTAGATTTTAAATTCCATTAAAAGTTATCTACTGATTTTAAGAAATTTAATCGCTGAGAAATTCTTGTTAACGAAAAAACACGGAATTTAATATGTACACAATAATTAAACAAAAAAAAAAAAAAATTGTTTAAGACATGAAGGCAGGATATAGATACAGATCCTAAAAAAAATGAAGTAAATCCTATTTCATTTATATTAGGAAAATATTTTAGCTGGAATCATATAGCAAGATAAAATCATCAGTTGAAGACTAATATAACTAATCCAAGATCTTTATTAGTTGAGGCTCATAGTTGTTATTCTTACCATGATTTATGCCTTAAACTAATAAACATCTTTAAAAAAGAATATGCCTTATTTTGGCATATGTGGCCTTTAATAATAGTAATAATAATAATAATAATAAATATTCATATTTGAAAAAATGAGAGCAAGCTTGCAATGATTTAAATAAGTTTTCATAATTATGAGACATTAATTGCACCGAGAAAATTATACATTAGTTTGCATTCTAAACAGTACAACCTCTGATCTCTACATTTAAATTTTATAACATGATTTAATAGTATTATGTGAAATGTAAATATTTCTAAACTAGAATATTGAACACAACAAATGAAAAAGATCTTGCATCATTACTGTCGAATAAAACTACTAAAATATAATTCCCTTATTTAGAATCTATTTTATCTGCTTTTAAAAGAATGAATTAATGAAAAATCTATTTTACCTGCTTTTTAAAGAAACCGAGAAAAAATTAAGAATAATTTATTTTAAAACTTCAAAAATACAAAGCAATCTGCATAGTAAACTGTTGTTAAAATTTTTGCTGTTTGGATCTTATTTCATTTTACAAATTTAGATTAGCCTGTCTTTTTTAAAGCTGTTAGTTTTTTTAAAAGCTGTTGTACTATTTACATATGAATTTTTTCACATGAATCTCTTATAACTCAAATGTGCTTCATGTGCATTACTGTTATCACATAAATGATATATTTATTATCTTCAGAACACTTGCATGCAGATTGTTACACTCGGATTTAATTATCTATGAACTCATGGAAAATTTAAATATAGGATTTCTTCACATTAATATTAGAAACAAAATACAGAGGTATTAGGTACAGAGAAATTATCAAGGCTTTACCTGATATTAGTATTTCCTATTTTAATATACTTTATGTACAAAAATTGCAATATTTTTAATATCATAATTTGTACAAAAAATCGCAATAAAGATATTTTTGATTTGATCCAATTTTATAATAATTTAAAATTTTCAGATTTTAAATAAATAACATTGTTGCTGTGACAAATGTATCGAGCTATTTAAATGCAAACATTTTGCTGCTTGCGAAACGCATTTGAAGTTTCAAATTTTTCTTAGTCATACCTTTAATCTAACCCTAATTTAAAATAAAATCACCCTTTTTTTTTACTTGGTTTTGATAAATAATGCCATCTGCTATAAATTAAATGGCTAGCATGATGATAAATAATACCATCTGCTACAGATTAAATGATTATCATGATGATAAATAATACTATCTGCTGTAAGATGAATGAATGATATAAGTCATCATATTTATTTAATCACTTATTATACTTAC